GGTCCATGAAACAAATCAGGGGCATCAACAAATATGGGGAGAAAAGACTGTAGGAGTCAGAGCAGATAGAGAATACCAGAAGAACATGGCCCACTAAGTCAAGTAGGCAGGGCCCACATGGGCTCACAGCCTGCATGGGCCCGCACTAGGTCCTCTGGGTATGTGTTGTGGCTGTTAGCTTGGTGTTTCTGTGAGACTCCTAACAACGGGAATAGATGTGTTTCTGACTCCTTTGTCAGCTCTTGAGACTCTTCTCCTCCTATTGGGTTGCCTTATCCAGACCCAATGTGAAAGCTTTTGCCTTGTCGTATTGTATTTTGTTTGGTACTGTCATCTCTTGGAGGCCTGCTTTTTTTCTGAAGAGGAAATGGAAGGGGAGAAGGGAGGTGAGGGAAGAGCTGGGAGGAGTGGGGGAGAGGAAACTGTGATGGAGTTGTATTGTATGCGAGAAGAATCTTCTTTTTTTCAATTAAAAAATTAAATAAAAAAGAAGACACCTACATTTAAATCCACCATGAAGTATAATATAGCACAGAGACTTCTTCAATGTAGCCCAGAGGAAAGCATAAAATTTATGATAGCCACATTACAGCTACCTTTTCCATGGAAATGGGTGAAGCCAAACACACAAAGAATAAAATCTCCAAGCACGGAGTATAAATCACCATCTGTACAGGGTTGTAGTCTTCATGGAGTCTTTCAATATTATGGATTAAACACATCTTCCCCCAGCCTCATGACGGTCTGAAACAGTTTAACATCAAAGTTTCCCCATGCATGCTCTAGGAAGGTAAAAATGGATCTGACATGCACAACAGAAAGGAAGCAAAGATGATGGTAAACAGGGCGCAGGCAGACACTGCATAAAAGTCATGGTCGCCTGCTAGCATCAGAAACAGAAGCAGATGGACCTGTTGGGCAAGAGCTATGCTGCATCTTCTGGATGAAAGTAGACAATCCTTGGATGCCGTATTGTTGGGAAGATGAATGAAAATACCCATTAATCTTTGACTTCCTTACATTCATATGATACAATTTCCATGTGGTCACTAAAATAGTAGAAAGTAAAAAGAGCAGTCTCTTCAACAAGCAGAGATAAAAAGCAGAATGAGAAAACAAAATGGTTTAATGTATGACCATGAAAGAGATAAAAAGACAGAGGTGAGAAACCTAGAAAACTTCAATCATGTGACAGATAAATGGACACAAGTCAATAACTAAGAAAACCGTGAGCGTTCTCGTCTTTCTGTTTAAATATTTGGCAATGGCTTATAATGCTTTCAGAAAAAGGTACTGGACACAGTCTTGCTCTCTCTGCATCTTATCATAAAGACACAATTAAAATAAAGTGATACTCAAGTAGGCCTATGCAACAATATTTTGAACATCAAGCATCAAAGAGATAGATATCATTTTGAGAAGCTGGGATTGTGAAGTATTTGCAAATGCATATTCAGACATTTGGGGAGGTAAGACCCAAGACTAAACAGGAGATTCACCTGTGTTTCACATATAGTCTATATACATAGCCCAAAGGTAATTTTAAACAGCATTTTAAATATTTTTCTCACATAAAGTTTCCACAGTGAAAGATTTTCCTCTTGTGTTGTTTCAACGTTCAAGTATATTCAGGCTGTGGCACATTTTAGATTTTGGATTAGAGACGCTCAACCAAGTAGAAAACTGGCAAATAGAAAATATCAATAGAATAAAAACATGGATCTAGGGGGAAATAAAAATAATAGAGTGGAAAATGTCTCGGTAGACTGATAGAAAGGAAAGATAAACCAATATTATGTGAGATGAACCAAGGACATCACCGGAGACCAATACAATGAAGAGCTTTATGTGATTTGCAAAAATGACTTGGATGAAATGGCAGGTTCTCTCAAGACACAAATTCCCAAAACAGGCTTACAAAGTAGAACCCCTGGCTAATGAAGAAAATATCTCAACTGAGAAAATGCCACCACCTGATTTGCAAGGCAAGACTGTAGTGTGTTTTCTTGATTGATGATTGATGATTGAAAATGGCAGGGCCCAGTTCATTGTGGTGGTTCTATCCCTGGGCTGATGGTCTTGGATGCTATAAATAAGACAGACTAAGCAAGCCATGAGGAGCAAGCCAATAAACAGTGTTCCTCTACGGATTCTGTTCTAGTTCCTGCCTTGAATGCTTGCCCTGACTTCCTTGCATGACGGGCTTAAGCTGTAAGATAAAATAAATCTTTTATCTCCAAGTTGCTTTGGGTCATGATGTTTTATCACATCAATAGAAACATAAGACACAATGCAAGTGAAAAAACTGAATTTGTAATTAAAACCTTCCCTCAAACTGAAGTTCAGGCCAAGGGAGCTTTTCTGGTGAGTTCAATCCAACACTCAGAGCCAGAGAAGGAGAGAATAGCTTCCAATTCATTTTCTAAAAGCTGGTGTTTCCATGATACCTGAGCCAGAAATACCTCATAAGCAAACACACTAGTGTCTCACAAAATGCAACCCCAAATATTAGTAAATGCAATGTAGCAATATTAATTTTATGATGTAATATATCATGACCAAATAGCAACCCCAAGTTATCATGAAAATCAATGTAGTTCCTCAGGTTTATAAAATAAGGAAGAAAAGTCCTATTGTTATGCAAATAAGGGCATAAAAACTTGTGAATACTCAAATATCCAGGCAAAACAAGAGTTCTCATCAAATTAGTAATAGGGATGAAAAAAATAGACTGAATAAAAACTGGGCAAGGGACTTGAATAGGCATTTCTCCAAAGATCTACAAATGGTCAACAGCACACACACACAAAATATGCAATCACTAGAGAACCATTAGGGAACTGTAAACCAAAACCACAATGAGCCAGCACTTCGTACTAATTAGGATGGATGTTTAGAGCAAACACAGAATAAGTATGGTGAGGGTGTACAGAAATGAGGACCTTTGTGTTTTGCCAGCAGTAATGTCAAGTAGTGCAGTTGCCATGGAAACAGTATGACAGTTCTTCAAAACTTATGAATAGAATTGACATACAATTCAGCAATTTCCCTTATTGGCACATACCTCCGAACAGTGAAAGCAAGGCATCCAAGTAGTATTTGTATGCTCATGTTCATGGGGGCATTAATCAAAACACACTAAAGGTAAACATAATCCAAGTATCTATTATAATATGAGTGGATACAATAGGGCATAGTCCTGTAAGGGGATGCTATTCTGTCTCAATAAAGAAGGAGACTTACAGGTGTTACACTATGGATAAAACTCAAAGATATTGTTCAAAGGTAAAATGAACCATTTGCAAAAGGACAGATGATATATGATTCCACTCATCTGAGGTCCCCAGAGCAATTAATTTAGAGATAGAAGGTAGATTCTGGTTACCAGGGGATGGAGTGTCAGTTTTATTGGAGACAGAATTTTTATTTATAAGATGAACAAAATTATTGAGACTGGTGTGCTGTCAGTTGCCAAATATCATTAATTTGCTTAATGTCATGGAACTACTCACTTAAAAGATAGTAAAATTTATGACAATAAAGGGGGAACTATAAATGGTCTTTTATACAGATGGAATCTACATTTAAAAGTCATTACATTTAACAAGGAATAAGACAAAGATGTTGTCTCTTAGTACCGCTCTTTACATGTTACTGGCAATGGTGTCTAGTGCAATAAGGCAAGAAAAACAAAGTCATGTATAGAAGATGGCATTCTATAGCCTTTCCCCATCCCCCATCTCCTATATTCTTTTCACTTCCCATTTTGCAACATTGCCTGAGCTTTAGAGGAGTAGAACAAATAAATGTCTTGTTTGGATCTAGGCTATTATGTATGAAACTGTCAAAGAGCAAGTATATTTAATAGGAGAATGTATGAAATTCTTATGTTGTAAGAGCTTTTAAAAGAAACTTAGCATTAAAGATCATTCTATAGTAATCAATAGTGTATGTATTGAGAAATGGTTTCAAAATTAATATAATTAACAACTAGTAGCATTCAGAATATGAAGGAAGAAAGGATCTATTTTATCTACACTGAAAATTATAAAAACACTGGTGAGAGACATTAAGGAAAACTGCAAGGAAAGCAGACCCTATTATAATGGAAAACCGAAGATTTGCTTCCATTAATATGGATATGAATATTGACCCACAGGCCTGAGGGTGGTAAAACACTATCAAAGATTGGGTGTCTTTGAGGTGACAAATATTTAGTATCTCTGTTATTGCTTTTAACTGTATCCAAAGTTCTGTGACTTTTTAAAAAAGTTCTGTGTTTTCCATTTCTAGAAGGATGTTTTAGCTTCTGAAGTCAGTCTGGATATTTTTATATTCTCTTGTTCCTAGCTCATAATTTTATTTATCCATTTTATATGCATTTAAACGCACTGTTTATCTTATAATCTTTCATCTTTTTTATCAGTCTACCTACATAGGCATATACATAAGATATCTGTAAGTAAACAATGTCTCTAAACAGTATATAAGAGTACAGAATTAGATTGGGAGGGTTTCCTTAAAGTATAAAATTAATGTTTGACAAGGTCTGATGGCACGTTGGCTAACTTCTACAGTGACTAGATCTGTCCACACCACTGGGGCACACTAAGAATAGCCAAAAGGATTCCCCCATCTTTCCCATACATGGACGGGAGTGTTTGTGACTCACACACTATTTGTGCTGCATGAAATTCCTGCAAGGAAACACCTGTGTAAGCTAGGGAAATCCTTACATAAACAAGAATTCCATGCAAGGGTGGTACTGCCAACCAGTTCTGAAATAACAAGTTTCTCATCAATGGTCCCTGCAGATAAGTGGCATACAGTCTCTAGGAAAAATAGATTCCTGTCTCATACCACACAGGAAATTCATGTAGAAGGAGTACAGATTTAAATAAAGAGAAGGATGTGGGCCAGGGAAACCTTTCTAAGCCTGTTGGGGAAAAGATAAAAGGCAGGTGGTTAAAGCAACAAAGAATCTGAATGTGGAGAATTACCAGAAGCAGGCATGATGACTAAAGGCAAGATGGCATCCTGGGAGAAATCCTGGAACAGAAAAGTGATGTTAGTGAGGACTCCAGGAACCCAAGCATTGCTCGCCACTTAGCTAATACTATTGACAGGACCAGCCTTGAAGTCTCAAATTTAGATCTGTGATTCTCCACAGGGGCAGTTTCATTCCCTGGGCAATGTCTGGAGACATCTTAGGATTGCATCCCTTAGTGGGTCAGGGAGAAACACTGCTAGCATCTGTGAGTGGAGACCAAGAAATCTCTAACACATGACAGCTATGAATGTCCCAGTGTTTAGGTTGAGATGCTACTACTCAGATGTTCTGTGGTTGAGTAATAAAGATGAGCTCAAAGGAATTAGAAGCTTGTCAAGGTTTCTTGAAAACCTCTCTTGTTATCTTGTGACTCTTTGCCCATCTGAAGTTATTTAAAAATTGGGAGTTTTAATAGCTACAAACTTTCATCATCATGAATGTGTGGAAAATGCTGTGAGGGCAATGTGTGGTGCTTGAGGATGCTTAGTGAAGTTGGAGTGAATGTGGAGACAGTGCAGTTCTGTCCTTTGGGGATTGTGCTCAATAACCTTATGATTATGCCTGTTTTCTCACTAAAGTCCTAGAAGTCTTGCTAAGAAAACCACATGAAATGTCCATATTTCTTTCTAGTGACATTTATCTGAAATGGCTCTAAAATTTAAAGCTGCTCTAAAATTTTTAAATAAATATAATCTATTTAACAATTATGATTGTTGGTTTTCAAGGTTGAGTAAATTCATATATTACAAGGCTTTGTAATAATTAGGTATTTAACAGGGAATCATGTAAAACATAAGTGGATATTGCAGAGAGTCTGAGAAACAGAACCTTCATCCAGCGACTGATGAAAGCAGAGGCAGATACCCACAGACTCCTGGAATCCAGTGTGAGAAAGAGAGAACTGATGGGCAAAGGAGTTAAGATTGGGCTGGTTTAACCCACAGAAACAGTTGACCTGAACAAGGGGCAGCTCTTGGACCCTAGATTGATGGCTGTGTGGAAAGCATGGGAAGGTTGAGTGAGGGGGTAGAATAGGGGGAAGAGGGAGTCATAGGTTAGAAGACAGATCTGGCACCAGTGAGACCTCTAATGATCTAAAAGGATGACACCAACTGGCAAGCTAAACAATAGTGGAGAGACCACCTTAAATGCCCATTCCTGATAATGAACTTGATGTCTATAGCCATCCTAGAGCCTTCATCCAGTGACTGATGGAAGCAGAGGTAAGCACCCACAGTTAAACACTAAACTGAACCCATGGAACCAATGACAAAGAGAGAGGAGAGATGAGCAAATTGGCAAAGAATGGGCTGGCAAAACCAACAGAGACAGCTGATCTGAACAAAGGGGAGCACTTGGACCCCAGACTGACAGCTGGGAGGCCAGCATGGGACTGATCCAGACCCCTGAGTGTGAGAGTCAGTGAGGAAGCCTGGGCAACCTATGTGGCCCTGGACAGTAGATCAGTGTTTATCCCTGGCATACAAATGGACTTCGTGTATCCATAACACAAAGAGGGATGCTCTCTCAGCCTGGACTCTTAGGGGAGTTCCTGGACCCTACTCTGTGTGGAACGACAGACTCTAGGTATCCCCTATGTGGAGGGAAGTGGCGATAGGGTGGGAGGCTGGGGGCAACGGTGGGGGGGTGCGGGAGGAGGAGAGGGAGAGGGAACTGGGATTGACATGTGAAGCAAGCTATTTAAAATTAAAGTAATAAAAAAATGTGGGTTTGGTAGAACCTATGGTCAGTGTTACTTAGCAACACAGGAGGTTCTACGCTGACCTTTTGCCCTGTGAATTAGGCAGCACAGAGGGTTACCCCTCCCACTGACCTTTGCTTCACCAGGCTCATTGCAGCTGCAGCACACCCCCATTCCCTCACCTCCTCCCTTCCCCTATATAAATCCCTTTGGGGTGAAATAAAGTTGTCGCCTTGATCAGACTCCTGTCTTGGTGTTCATTCTTGTATCCCCTGGCCTCCATCTTTCTCCTAGGTGTCTACCAAACCCACGTCGAGTGTCCTGTTGGTCAGGACATTCGATAGAACCACAACCCAGGTAAGTTTTAAAGATGCTAAAAGTGGACTTGGACTCAGAAAATCAGGTCAGGATAATGCCCTTCTCATACCCAGTTACCTCCAAATGTACTACTCTGTGACATTCCATGCATTTGGTGGGCCAACTCTCCAAATCTCATGACTGGTATCTGCTGCGCTACCATCGACAACTCCAAGGGTTATAATTCTGCACTGAAGTGTCTGTCTCACTTGGTCTTATATGCACAAGAGCATTCATGCTGGCCCATGAGTGCCAGGGAAAATCACATGCTTGCCGTTTTTATGGGCCATATGAACAAAAACATCTAAGCATGGTCTGTCCAGGCAAACATACCTAAGCCTCTATCTTCCTCAAATTCAGAACCAATGAAAACACCATTCCACTTTATTTGCCAGTTTGATGCTTGTAGTAAGGGGTGGACATATTTTAAATAAAACTAAACAATTTCTATCACATTCAACCCATGCGTTCATACACACAAAAGATAGAGCAGAGCCAGGAGGAGCACGTTTTGTGCAAAAGCCATCATCATGAGTTTCTAGATATTTGCAAGAGTTGGATTTCAAAGTTGGATATCAATTTTCAGCAACTTTGGAAATTTGGGAAACTTTAGTTGTGACACTATGTCTCTATCTGAGAAAACCCAAGTTGTTCAGAAGATGCACAGCTCTGAGACAGAGAGAGTGCTAAGGGCCTCCTTTCCTTGTGGGGCCTACATGAATAGTGTCATATAACAAATGATGGTCACACACTTAATGAAGGCTTCTGGGCACACACAGGAGCACTGGGAAGCTGGGTTTGGTAGCACACGTCTGTGATCATAGCATTTGGAGAAGAAGAGACCAAAGGTTCACAGTAAGTACAATCCAGGATAGCCAGGGCTACATAATGAGGTTCTGTCTCAAGAAAACCAAAACCAGAAAGTCAGTTAACCAACCAACCAAATGATGAAGCCAAATCAACAGGTGATCCAAAGATACAGTTCATATATGCAAATATTACAACTCATAAAGTGGTTACAGGAAAACTCATTTTGATAGCTTTTGTGTTCAATTTCTGATTCCATGGACAACCTCCTAGAAGATAAATAAAAGTTCCTCCACTGGTTATGAATGGGGACATTACCACAGATCATGTTTCACAAAAATCAGAGTCGGCAAGAGCAGGTAGACACTTCAGGGGGCAAAGTCTAGTTCCAATTGCGGTGACACAGATTGTGTCCATTTCAAAAAGAATACCACTACTACACATGCCTGCCCTCTAGGACACCTCAACTTTGAAGAGTCCGTGATAGCCCTAACAATCAAGATATATAGAAGAGACAAACACATTTCCCCAAATGGCTCAAACAGGAGAACATTCTTCATAGGATCAGTGTTGGGTGGCATGATCCAATATGTGATGCCCTTTCGGGGTAAGAATAATTTTCTATATTCTCCGAAGACAGCCTCAAGCTGTGTACTAAAGTGCTCCAGATGTGGACCAGGGCCTTTACCAACACAGATGCATCTGTGTTGCTGTGGTCTAATGAGTAATAAATGGAGTGTTGGTAGCAATATGAAAAGCATTTCCACATCTAACAACAAATACTTCCGAAAACAGAGTGTAAAAAGAATTTTTGAGTCTGTTCTATCATCTTCACTTGACTCCTGCTTGCCAAAGTTGGCTATCAACACCAGAGAAGATCACATCCCATCCAAAGGTCTAAGGTTACTGGAAAAGAAGAACAACTTCACCAAAAGACTAAAATATATCATTTATTTCCCACATATCTGATTTTTCATTTTCCAGGTTATCTTTTTCTTATATAACTCATCACTGTACCACTTTGTCCTCCCAGAACTGTGTTTAAACTAATTCATAGAAAACAGCTCAGACCACGCTGAAGTCTAATGATAACTATAAAACAGTATTGAGTCCCTCTATGAATTCACTCACATGAATAGCTTGATACATGTCAATTGCCTACAGGAGGTGGTGAATAACTAACTGAATGGACTGAAATGCAGTGGGCCCTGTATCCAAAGCCCATGGTACCTCTGCTGGTGGCCTTCACTATCGCTGTGACTCATTCTTGTCTAGACAGCTGTTCTACTGTTTCCTAATTTAAAAATTCGGACCATTATCCGGTCAATCTTCAATCTTTGAATCTGTTTCTCTTTATGAATCCCTGGCAAACCTGAACAAATGGAGCATTAGTGATGACTTTCTCCCTGACATTGTAGAGACATGGCCCATTCATATAATGGAGGGTGTTACTCATAAGACAAAGAAAGTGGGGGAGAAATGCCTCTTATCTTCTAGAGTAGGGTGATGAAAATGGGCAAATTTGAGTCCTTGTAGATGATGCAATAAACTGAGAAGTGCATTTATCATCTCCTGGAAGAGATGATCCCACCTCATTTAGACTTACCATTAATGAAATAAACAAAATTTAAAACCTTCTACATCTTTGTACAACACTGCTCAACATTTCCTCTTTCTAAACATTCATTTAACCATCTGAAAGATGGCAAACTTGTCCCATGATAACATTTGACTATTCTGACTGACTTCTCAGGGGAATCACAGTTTGGAGATCCTCACTTCCCAGTTTTCAAACCAACTGGGGATTTTGTAGTTTTCACAACCTACCTCTTGGTAGTGAATCTTACATGACTCCCTCCCTTCCCTGGTTGTTAGGTTCAGGTGTGAGGAGAGGTTATACAAGGAAGGAGACACAGGGCCCTTAAGTGGCCCTGATGTCACATCAGTTGCTTTGTTGACTCATCAGAGTATCTTGACCCCTAACTAGCACCTAGACCCTGAGTATCTTACTCTGAAGCCCATGGTGGTCTGCAGGGTGGAAACAATGACTCAGATAGTTTCTGCCTTTTCAGTGCACAGCTTAGAAGGAAAAGGACCTCCAGTGAATAAAGAGACCACATTAAAAGACTGTAACCTACACACCTGAGTTTTGTTTCGGCACCGTGGAATCAGAGAGCAGCCCAGTGCCTAAAACCAGTGCTTATTCAGTAAGTCAGGGGTAGAACTCTGGGTATGGAGGTACCAGAAGGTGCTGGAGCTGAACAGATACCCCAATCATTAGTGACAATGGTGACTGGCACACAGTGACAGACTTTGTTACTTTCAATAAAATGGGCATCTGGGCTAGCCAACGTGATGAATTATTTAGGAAACAGGAAAGGGCAAGAGAGATTTGGATACGCTTTGACCAAAAGATATGAGGGAGCCCTAGAACTCTTGATAGGAGGTGGTGGAAGACAAAAGCACATGGCCTTTGCTTGGACATCACTGCATCAGCTTCTGAGAATTACCCTGAAAATACAGCTTCTCTGACAGCTACCATGACAGACAACCCCAGCATTATTCCTTCCCCAAATTAATGGACTAGGAAAGAAGAATTCAAGCCACCATCTGGTTGACCTCTCCCACTAAAGTGACGAGGACCTTGAAGTCAAATGATCTAAGTTTCTAAAAAGGTCATCCTTGAGCAGGGTTGGCCTTTGTCAAAAGGCCCAGGTGATAGATATTTTGGCTCTGTGGGATGAATATTTCTTTTCCCACTCCCAGCTCTGTCACTATATGTATAAAAGTATAGATGAACACCAAAGGTTGTGGGGTTGGGCTGAGTCACTGTTGAAACCTGCTCTTCAGACTGTTGAGAGGAGGTTTCAGTTTCTTTGTGCATTCATATGCACACTAAAACAGCCCCTGATTCATGATGTAGTTGATAAAACAAACAAAAATACACTTTTAGCAATTCTAGCTCCTGAAAAGGTAAGACTGTTTACCTGGTCATGATCATGCAGGTGGACCAGTTGTGGCTATATTGTTAGTTGCAATCTTACTGGCAGTGCAGCAGGCAAGAGAAGCCTCAGGAAGTCCAGAGGGATATATATACATGATGCTGGATATCCCAGTCCCTATATCTAATAATCCATCTGTCCCATTGGCAAGCCCTGCTGGATCACCCTCAAAACATGCCTCAGCTGAGTCCCATTTAGTTGTTTGTGCATACACGGTTTCAGGGCTGACCACATTATGCTGGACAACCAAAAGGGATATCCTCTGCAGGATAGCAGGGGACTTTGGGAGAGCTAGAGGAAAAGGAAGGGGAGAAGTGAAGTAATTATATTTTAATTTAAAATGTAGCCCAAAAGAAACCATGGCTCTGGGTCCATTCTCACAGTTGCCAAGTATTCATTTGTGAGTGAAGAACAGAGGTTAACTGAGAGAGACTGTCTCACTGCTATCTTCTTATGGTGAAAATATGATAGCCAGTAGCCCACCTACAGTACTGTCCTAGATGGAACCTAAGAATACTCCTGACTTGTTTCAGAGAATGGTGGAGACATAATGGAAAATGGCGGAGTGGCCGGCTCTGATGTGCGTTGCATGGCACACTCTGGGAAGACATCCCTCATCAGTCCACCTTAGGGAACTAGCCAGCAAGAGAAAGCGCCTCATCTGAGGTTACATTTACTCCCTGGGATAAAACGGCCCAGCCCTCATGCTCAGAGAAACACTGAAGGCCATTCCCACTCTTGAGGTTGCTATGGCCTTTGTTTTGTCTGTCCACCAAATGCCTTTCCTATCTATTCATGCCTTCTCTCTCTTCCTGCAATTCAGGGCATTCCCACAAGCATTCTCTAGGATATAGACAGTCCACTAATCACCCCTCAGAGTCTGAGTCCCAATACCGGCAATATCAGCAAGTGTTTCTAAGTCAAGAATCATTTAATTACAGGCAGGCTAACCCAGCATATCATTTGCCTTTGTAAGTAAAACTTTATTGGTAACAGTCAAATCAGTTTCTGCATTGCAGTACTTTCCCACCAGAAAAGCAGGAATGAGTAAATGCCATACAAATCAGACGGTCTGTGAGGATAAACACACTTTCCTTTATAAGGAGGAGAGGTGAGAGGAATAGTGAGAAGAGGAGGAGGAGAAGAGAGGGAAAGGGAAGCTAGGGGAGAGGAGGGAAGAGAAGGAAATGGAAGGAGACAAGAGAGGGAGAGAAAGAAAGAAGAAGAGGAAGAGGGGAGAGAAGAGAAAAGAAGAGGGAAGGGAAGGGAAAGAAAGAAGAGGAAAGGGGAGGGGAGAAGGAAAGAAAGAACTAAAGGCTGCTTCAGTAATTTCAGATCATCAGAGGGAGGAACCGCATTTGCAAAATAAAGTTTCTTCCCAAGCCTTCTGAGCCCTCTAGAACTAAGTCTGCTAGGATGAGAGAGCTGAGTCCAAGAGGCCATCTTCCTCTCAGGTAAGCCTTATGTGTAAATGGAATGAAGCTAGCTCACTATATACTCCTCACACCTCAGAACACAAACAGATTTGGTATCCATGGCCTGGCAGAGGCTTCTTCCTTCCAACTATGCAGACAGATGCCTTGAGAGCAGTGGCTCTTACCTTTCCTAACACTGTGATCCTTTAAAACAGTTCTTCAAGTTGTGGTGACCCCAACCATAAAGATATTTCATTGCTACTTCATAACTGTAGTGTTGCTGCTGTTATGAATCGTAATGTAAATGTCAGATATGCAACCCTGTAGCGTTGGCACCCACCATTTGAGAACCACTGCTTTAGAGCATGTGCACTCCCTGAGGGCCTACCAGTCTAGAAGGTCCACCACAAAGCAGGAACCCAGGCAAGCAGGTGTAGGCAGGGCATTCCTTAGTCTTTTCTCAAATATCATCTAACATCATATCTTGTTCTCTATCTACTTGGATGTCTCAGGAAGCTTCAGAGCTGGACCACAGTACAAAACCAGGTCATACTTAGTGTATCATAACTGATAGTGGATCAATCACACACACACACAGTGATGTCAGAACCATTTGGATCAATATGAAAAATCCCACAAAGTGGCACAGGGACCCAGGTTTCAGATAGGGAAAGATCTCTGAGCTGTTGAGTTTTAGCCAAATCAATAACATAACTTATATATTATCAAAAACCCATTTGTAGCTCACTGACTGCCACCCCAGGGCATGCTCCTAAGCAGTATTTAAACACCTCCTTCTATGGTGACAGTGGATACCGGTCCACTCCTGGGCACCACCAATGCCCTGACTACTCTGCCAAGAACTGTTTCTGGCAAGGATGCAACAGGAGCCATGAACACAGCTCTGGCACTTAATGGACACATGGAATTAGGTAAGTAATTTAATCTGCCAGGCTTATTTGTCTTATCTACAAAATAGGCTTAACTAATATTTTCTCTACAAAATTGTTCAGATGATTTGAAATAGGGGATACCAAGTTCTAGTACCGGGGATTTTTACCACACACATTCATGATGCAGGTAATGAGAAGGGGGGAGGGTAAGAGTGATGAAAGTTCACCTCACTACAGAGGCAGAGATTTGTGTGACATTGACCTCTACAGCGCCAGTAGGATGCTCACAGACAGTGAAGACAAAACATCAAGGACCAAGGAGGTATGCAAAAAGAGAACCCATTCTTAACTTTAGTCCCAAGGAAAGGCAGGTGCCCATGTGTCTACTGGGACGTTTTGTCCCAGGGAACAGGACTGTCTGTTATTCATGAAGTAGCTGCATGTACACTCATCTCCCTCCATTTTAGGAGCTTCCTGAGTGCATGCATATCTTCCAGGCTTATTCAAGAGTACCATCTGTAGAACTTTCTATTCAATGATCTAATGACTACAGCCCAAACTATCTTGACTCTATAGACTCTCCCCCACAGCATCTACAAAGGTGGCTGGATGTCAGAAAAGTGAGCGCAGAGGGGATCCTGCTTGAAAGGAGTTTAGATGAAAGGAGTTGGCATTGGACACTACGAAGGATGATGCCCATTAATAGTGTGTATAGCCACAGGAAGCCATCAAGAATGCCTCAGATACAGTTCCAGTTACAGACAGGAAGACTCACAGGTCCTGTGAGTCTTAATGAGCATTGCCACAGTCTGAGAGTACTCGCATTAAGGCTAAAAGGCTCTGTGAGGGTAGCAGCTGTGCTTGCAAGTGCACCCTGGGATGATGGCCTACCTTCTACCAGGATAGACTTGGATCATTAGAACTAGTGGACTGTAACTAGTGCTTGTAAACTTCAGGCAGGAGTTCTGCGGCATGCTTTCTCATTAATCAACAAAAAATACAGCCCACTGAAAATTAGTATAGATATATATGAGTGAGAGTATGTGCAAACCAGGTAGGTATATGCATGGGTGTGTACACAAGTCCATATATTCATACACACCAGAGGACCATGTCCCAAACTAGCCCTTATTTTAATGGAGCACAGCATTCTAAAAGACACATGAGACTCTGCTTTCCTTTGGGCCCGAGGGTTAAGAATTATTTCTTTGTGCATCTCCTCAATCCTTGATGCTTTCTATGGTGTTGGATATTAAAGTAGAAACTGCTGAGACTCACATGGTACTTCTTGCCTTCAAAAATTCCTTCTGGGGCTGATAGAGAATGGGAAATAAAGTTAAGCATGAAGACATTCGAGAATACTAATTACTGAGTGAATGATATAAGCTCAGAGCAATGGTGTCACTGTCCACATTCATTGAACTAGAAAATAAGAGATGTGTTCAGGGTTCCCTGAGCTTCTGTGGCATTCTTCAAATGACAGGATGAGGCCCTGGGATTGAGAGTCAGGCTCTAAATGTGAGTCTCTACAATGCATTACTATTCTGACAGTGTCAGCCCCACAGGAGGCAGAGCTAACCTCCCCTAACCCACTTAAGAAAACCCTTCACAGGAACAGCCAGACTCCTTACAAAGCCATAGGGAAGTTGCTCTGCTCTGAGCTGGGTGTTTGTGATCTTACTCTGGTTATTTGTAAAGAGCCTTTGGTGAAGTTTTCTAAAAATCCAAGTGATTACACTGTGAGTCAGAGCGTCAAGTTGTGCTCACCACAGAGAGTGCCATTTCTCTGTTTCTGGAATCATCATCAATAAGGAAGATGAACTGCTCAGCTTGAGCAGTTGCCTTAAATACTAAAGTGGAGTTTATCTTTGTAACCCAGAACGACTGCTTGCGTTTTCCTGCATGCAGTGAGTGTTGATTCAGGCATTTCAATCGCTTAATCAATCCAAAAGCCGTATCGAACTTACTTTAGAGATCTCTCGGCAGCCAATATATCTACACTTGTTAAAATTAATTACACCATTTAACATTTCCACATGCATTATAGTTTTAAGTGTTTCAGGGTCACTTTTTATTAATTAATAAACCCTTAATGGGAAAAATTCATACTATAAAATTATTATGCATATGCTGCATTTTCAGTTTTACTATTATTTCTTTGAAATATTTTCCCCAAGTGGAAAGTCCATGACTCATAAAGCAGTCACTCACAGAAAGTACAACTGAAAATAGAAGTTTATTCAGAGACAAAGAAATCTGTGCTGCTGCTTCCCTCCCTCCAGGACAGACTCACTTCCTCTCCTGAAAGCCAAAGGGTCTTGGGGAAGCCCACCTGGGAGATTCTGTCTGGCCCTAAAAGAGCAGAAATAGTAACAAATTCTAGCCAGGATCCTCCAGACACAACCCAGGACACATGATTCCTTTTGCTGCTGTTGGGGAAGGAACATTCCAACTTTCTCATTAGAAGACATGCTGTAAATAGCACACGCATGCGTATACACACACACACACATACACACACATATACACACACACACACACACACTTCATTCCACTATAGAACTCAAGTGTAGTTTTTAAATGTTGATGCTAACCCATTTATCAATGATGTGATTGAAAAGTGAAAACCTCAGAATCCTAGCCAATTCCTCCAATTCCTCAATATTCAGATGTTGAACCCTTTAGTACTTTTTTTAAAAAAATCTGGGTGTGGGTGGCATTTTATTCCACTCACCCTGCTCTGGAATGTGATATGAGCCACAGTCTGCTATGGATTGCATGTGTGGCCTGCCACTATAATTGTTGGGATAGGTCCCTCATTATCTACACATGTCTCATCTGAGAGCATCTTCCTAATCAGACATCAGCACCAACTTATGAGTTGTTGACTTGAAGCAGAGATGACCAAATGCTCAATGTGAAAGAATTCCTGGGATGAGTTGTACAGGAGAAATTCAACAGCGCTCCCTTAGCCGAACACTGATATTGGGCACTCTCCAGCAAGTGGCCGTCTACTCACCTGCCCTGTAACTCCATCCAGGAATATGGATGGAGAGTTGGTTGGCATGGCTGCTAGTGGGACACGTTGCACAGTCTTCGTCCTCCTTTCTTACAGGGACTTGGTTCCTTCCCACATCTGCAAATTTGACATTTTCCTGGGGAGGGGAGCCAGTTCGAGGGCATGCACCACTCCCCAAATGCACTGGCACCAATGCTGGTCTCTCCTTCCAGTGACCTTCCTGTAGCTGGCCCCATTGTGGACTTAGGTCCTGCTTTCTCTCCAAGTGCTCCTGTGGCAGGGCTCTGCTGATTGGCTCGCCATTAGCTGTGCTGTCTACGCCATCTGCTGTTAACCTGTGGGAACTACAGCGGAGGCTGAGAGACAGGACAGACCTGTGCATTTTGGGGCTAGCAATTTGAGGTTGCTCGAGGGGGACAGAAAGAGACTTATCCAAATAATAAATGGCATTGGGACACTGCTGAGACACCCGGAAGTGGACACAGGAACTGAACACCAGTGGGACTTTTCTTGATGGTGATCTGTCTGAAGAACAACTGTCCCCTTTGTCATCCATGTGGGTGACCCAGTACTCCTGCCTTGCACACAGCCTTGTGTGAGCCTGGGGAACCTTCAGCCCCTCTATGGAGCCATTGCTAGGGAACTCTGTACAGATGAAGGATTCATTGTGCTGACATAGATGGTCACCCCCCGCCAGAGCTGGGGGGCCTTGGAGAAGGGCATCCTTGACCCTACAGTTGGGACACAGTGGTTCCCTAACAGTGTCCCATACCAAGGAGTTAGATGGAAGGCCCACCCGTCGGGCAGTAATGGTGATAGATGAGAAACCTCTGTGGGAGCCTCTGCCTAGGTTGTCCCCTGTAGACAGTGGTTCTCTCTCCATTTCTTGCTCCTCTGATGGAGTCAGAATTCCCAATCTGTCTGGAGCAAATGGCCTGTGCATGTTCACTCCAGTGTGCCTGGCCAAAGTTGGCTTTGTGTGACACAGCTGAGGCTGAGTGATTGCTTGTGGCAGAGGCAACAGGGCTCCATTTTCTGTTGATTTCTTCTCATCAATCAGCTGGGAAAGGATGATAGGTGATATCATTTTTGTGTTTTGTGATGCCAATGTCTCCTAGAAAATAGGGAGGAAAAATTGCAATTACTCCAGGCGTTCACAGGAATACAGTCAGTGAATTCTCATGGGTCAGTGAACTCCCAAGGGTCATGGGAATGCTGAGGAAGGATCACTTAGATTTCCTGAGAAAGACTTCAAGGCACTCTTGATACCCAATCTGAGCATTCTGAAGAGACAGAAACCTAGGCACGTCTGTGAGGAAGCACTGTTATGATACATTAGCCGAATTAGGGGAAGGACAGACTCACTCAGCGGGGTATCAGTCTACTAGCCTTGGGATCCCTCAGTGGAGAACCGCCCCCCCAGGACTGTGATAGTAGCTTCTGCCAGACCCCAAGACCTCAAAACGAAATCTCATAGCCTCAATAAGGAAGGGAGGCAGAATTATCAAGGTGGCTGGGAACTGGAGATGGGGAAGTGATAGGCCAGCACTCTGGTGATGGTGTCAGCGAATGTGATAGCAAGGAGCCACCTCCTTAGTTTCTCTCACAGTCTTCCATCTTTGCTGGTTAAGGCTAACACGGTTAACTTTCTGCTTGCTTGGCCTCACAGAAGCCCAGGCTCACAGAATAAGCCAAGGGAAATCAGATGCCCGCGTTCAATCAGTTGACTTCTCTTACCAGGATGGGGTGTACCACGATGGATGTATACCAGTATACAGAATATAGCTGTCGCTCAATGCTACTCTGTGAGGAGCTTTTGTCCACATTTTAAATGATTAAGGAATTCCGTGCTTCCTAATTAGCAGTTCCTAAGATCTTATGTAAATCACTGCAGTGTGCAGAATAATGCACTGTGCTTTTTCACACCATGTCTAACCAGCTTTAGAGCAAGAAGGGGAATCCCTCTGCTCTTGTTATGTTTTTATTAGTGTGTTGAGTGCCACAGAAGGCTGACCACAGCCCAGCATTCAATGTGCGCAGACCCATGCCCCATTTTTAAATGTTTCTAAAATGAACTTCTGCACAGAATTGCATAGACTACAGCCATGGAAGCCAAAAAGCATCACTAGGGTACTCAGCATTCAAGGCAGCAGATCTGAAATCCCAGCACATCTGAGAATTATCTAGAACATTGTGAACACAGGTTCCCCAGGTCTGAGATTCTGATGGTAGAGTACAGGGGATTTAACCCACACACCCAGTGATCCTGATGTAGGAAACCTGAACAGAGCCACAGCTGGCCTGCTGTCATCTCAAGGAATTGCATTCACAGGGGGTAGGCCTAGGTACCATGAAAGCCTGGGCTTTGCCTTTCCCAAGACATAGGAGAACAAGGGTAGGTTTGTGTTTTCTTTATTTCAGGTTTAGTATTCATTTATTTAAATAACTGACCATTCTCCTCTATCTGGACATGGGACACTGCACATAACACAGTGATGACACAAGCTAGAGTCATTTGGGAAAGGGGACTCTCAGTTGAAACAAATGACTCCATAAGATGGGCCTATAGGTGGAAACTGTTCACCATGCTGGGTTACCTTGCCCAGCCTTGATGCAAGGGAAGGAGCTGGGTCCTGCCTCAACTTGACGTGCCATGCTTTGTGCAAGTCCATGGGAGGCCTGTCCCTTTCTGAATGGAGATGGGAGGAGTGGATGGGGAGGGGGAATAGGTGAGGGGATGGGAGAGGAGGAGAGGAGAAAGGGGAAACTACAGTCAATATGTAAAATAAATCTAAAAAGTTACTTAAATTTAAAAAAATGGGTCTACAGGCAAGTCTGTAGTACCCATTTTCTTGATTGATGATTGAAATGGGAGAGCCTTGCCTACTATGGGAGGTGCAACCCCTGGGCTGGTGTCCCTGGCTGCAATAAGAAAACAGACTGAGTAAGCCATGGGGAGCAAGCCAGTAAGCAGCACTTTATGTAGACCAGGCTGGTCTTGAACTCAGAGTTCTGCCTGTTCCTGCCATCCACATGCTGGGATTAACAGCATGTGCTACCATACCTGGCTCCCTCAGTTTCTATGGCCTTTTATACTTTTAAAGGTATGTGAGAAGGTGCAAATTTCAAAAGATAACCAGAGATGGGGGGAAGGAATGGTGAGACCATTTTAAACCTCCAGTGTTTAAAAACAAAGTCTTTTTGCTTCCTGGACAAGGATAGCACTTCAAGCTTCCCATTCAGTCTTACTGCTACCTTCCAATTCAAGGTCATTCCACAGTTCAAGGTCAACCGAGTGGAGATGCCTCCCTAGCACCTCTGACACTATGAGATAAAGCAATTGCCTGTAGCTTGCAAAGCCCCAAAACCCATGCCTACACCTTAGACAAAGCAGTAGGCTCTCGGGGGCTGGAGCTGGACTGGAGGCAGGAGTCAGTGCTTTTGGTGTCTCCAGCAGGTTCCTGTGCTTCTGTGGTACTTCCCCTACTCTACCCTTCTCCCTGCAGCACTCACGCTGCGATTTGCATACAAGAAAATGACAGTGCACCTGGAGCCCATTTGACAGTACACAATTCCTCCCATCCTGGTTAAATTTAGTTCTGATAATAATTGTTCCTGTGCACCCCACGATGGGTGTAATCATACCCAGTGGGAATTCCTTTGACATTGATCTTTGGAGGAAAAAACAAAACAAAACTCAGCTTGGAACCTGCAGTGTTGTTCTTACTCCGTGAGGCAGCCGTTTCCTCAAGTTTCGACCAGTGACAACCTGCCCTCAAAAATCTCCTGGAGTGGGGATAGAGATCCCTGAACACCGTCGTCTCCAGGCTAAGTTGAATCAAGCAAGACCCATAAAGGTGAGGCCCAGAATCTATCTTTGTAACCTGGGTGGAACCTTGGGGGTGCAAGGATATGGAAGAAAGAGGCTGAGCTGACTTAGGTGACCTGGGGCCCATCCTGAGCCATGGTTCTCAGAGGCCCCAGACCTCAGAGAAGCCTTGATTTGCATGGCTGTATTGCAAGAAGACTGATGTAGAGTCTGCTAAGATTACCCTGTTTTGCACTGGAATTACCAATGTCAAGGGCCCCCATCTTGGACTCAGGCTCCTGGACCTTGGAATTAGCATGACTGTATTGCTAGGAACAAAGAGTTGCCAGTTCAGCTCCGAGTCCCACAGAAAAGACCCTGATACTGGCAATGCCAGTCTGGTTCTTTCAGGCAGAGCTCAAGGACATGCTTGCGGAAGGCTCCCTTGGGGCCATAGGCCTTGGGCACTATTTCAAAAGGACCTAGAGGCCCAGGAAAGCCTGGATAGAGAACCAGGTGCCATTTTACTACCAGAGGCCTGGAAAAAAAACTGACTGATTTTTTTTTGCCTCCATCAAAAGAAAGAGGAAAGAGCGATAATGAGAAGTGTGAATCTGAACTTGTTTCTCAAGTTCTTGTGTTGTTTGGGGTGACATTCTTCCTGGGTGAATACACTCTGGCCAGCACCATGCCCAGGAAAAATTGTCTGCCTTCTCTCCTTCACAGAGAAGGTGTGGAGAACAAAGGAGATGAGAGTGTGACAGTGTCTCTCAAATCATAAGCCTTGCTTTGCTTTCTTTTCTGTTGCTGTAATACCAGGGCAAAAGTAATGGAAGGAAGGCAGGGAGGGAGGAAGGGAGGGAGGGATGGAGGGAGGGAGGGCTGTGTATATTTAGTTCAAAGTTCACGATACAGTCCAGCAGCAGCAGCTGCAGCAGCGTCTAGAAGTAGCTTGTCACACCCTGTCTGCAGTAAAAGTCCAAGATGCAGCCCTCTGAAGTGGTGCCACCCACAATTAAGATGCATCTTCCCACATCAATTGACTTAAGAGAATTTCCCCAAAGGTTTGCTTAGAGTCCTGGGTGACTGCTGCATGATACCAGGTTTTGTCAAGTTGACAATTAACACTAATTATTACAAGCGTTTGTATAAATTACTTTCCCCATGACTCAGCAGAGTTTGGTAGATAACTGATGTAATCAAAGCAACAGAGACATGTCATCCAACTTATGCTTGCCCATAACAGCCTTTCAGTGTTGCTTGCAGCATTACAGTTACAGGCAAGCCATATGCTCAGTGATTCAGGTGACAAATATTTATTGAACACCTATTGATACGACATGCCAGGTACATATTGAGTAACAGAAACCTTTGTGGTCCCCTGGAATTAACAGCCTGGAGGCAATATCCAAATGATCAGGATAATCATTAGACTGATTATTAACCACAGATATCCAAAAACAGATTAGAAACATTAAAAAGGAAACGAAGGACTTTTCAACCTTTAGCATATATAATACTTCTGTAAGGCAAGTTCTATTTATCAAATCTCATTTCCTCACTGAAACCAATAGATAACCAAACAGAATATGCAACCTAGCTCTGGGGAGATGGCTTGGTTGATGAAGTGCTTCCGCACAGGCATGGGAACTTGAGTTTGGATCTCTAGAATCCACATAAAAAGCAGGACATGATGGCATGTGCCTATAACCACAGTGCCAGGGAAGCAGAGCCAAGAGGATCCCTGGGGCTTGTTGACCATCTAGTCCAGGCAGAATGAGGGAGACCCTATATCAAAAACTGAGTTAGAAACCAATCAAGGAAGACACTGATCTCAACCTCTGGCCTCTACACACAGAGGTTAGTACACACATACACACACATACACACCAAGAATAACTGACCTTACAAAAGCTCAGATTGTCTCAAATCTAGCTATTTGAGGTGACACTCCCTCTGCCTTTTAACTAGGTTAACTAAAGGTGACTTTGAAGAGATGTATAAAATAAAGTTAAAAGATGTAAGACTAGACTTGAAAGGATGGAGAAAACCATGTGGTATTGAAAGGGATGATGTGTGTTCAAGGTGAGTGACAGCCAGGCTGGGTTTGAATCTGGCTTTGGCAACAGACTGTCTCATGATCATCATGTTCCAATATAATTTTTGCAATCTCTTGCTCATAGGTGCTGATATTGATTTCTTTTAAATGTTTTAAGATATCGATTTATTTTAAACGTTTCCAGTGTGATTTTGTAGAGCTGGTAACTGCTTTCATGCTTCTTTATCAACTGTGTTTGCTTTTTATT